TTCTGGAAGGGGTCCAACCAAATCTACATGAACGTGTTCAAAACGAGCATCAGGGATAAGAAAAGTACCAAGGGGGCTTTTGGTGTGTCTTATTACCTTGCGCTTTTGGCAAGCTAAGCACGTGTGTATCCATTCCCTTACTTCTTTATTAATACCGGGCCAACAAAACCGACTAGTTACGAGTTTGACGGCAGTTCGAATATCTGGGTGGTATAAGCCATGCAACGTATGGAAGACGTTACGGCGATAACTTCTAGGCACGATGGGGCGGGGAGTACTAGTGGAAACGTCGCATAGAATAGTATCTCTTCCCATACCTAAGGGTTTCTCGGCTAATTGCAGAGTTATTTTCGATAACTCATTTTGAAGTTCGGTATCTACTTTTCGAAGACGAGCCAGTTTTACAAGGTCTATGCCGTCGATTTGGGTGAAGGAACAAATGCGTGACAAGGCATCTGCCACAGTGTTGTTCACTCCAGATATATGGCGAATATCCGATGTAAACTGTGAAACGTAATCCGGTTGTCGTGATTCTCTGGGTGAATACTTATCTAAAGTTGATTTCGGAGAGTACGTCGGAGATTTGTGGTCAGTGAAAATTAGGAATTCACGACCCTCAACTGAATGTCGAAAATGGCGTATAGCACAGTACATAGCCAGAAGTTCTCTGCCGAATGTGCTGTACTTAGTTTCAGCTAATTGAAGGCGCCTCGAGAAAAAGGCGAGTGGTTGCCACTCTTTGATAGCTAGTTGTTGCAGAACTGCGCCTTTTGCAGTGTCTGATGCATCAACCGAGATACTTAACGGTGCCGTTGGATCCTGAGACATAAGAAGTGTGGCATCCGCAATAGCTTTTTTACCTGAGTAAAAGCATGTCGAGCAGACGCGTCGAGTTCGACAGACTTGTTATTTCCTCGAAGAAAGTCTGCCAATGTCTGAATCAGAGAGGCAAGGTTGGGAATAAACCGTCGATAGTAACTTACCAAGCCATTAAACGTGCGAAGACTTTTCACTGTTTGTGGCTCTGGAAAGTTCCGTATCGCTTCGTATTTAGTAGACAGTGGGCGAATGCCCTTGCAGTCAATGGTGTGACCCAGAAAGTCGAGTGAGCCAACGCCTATTTGACAATTTTGAATGTTGATGGTAACACCATGTAGGCATAACCTTTCAAATGCTAAGTCCAAGTGTTTACGGTGAGTTTCCTTGTCTGGACTGGAAATGAGGCCGTCGTCTAAGTATGCGTATACAAAGTCGAGACCGCGAAATACATCGTCGATGAAGCGTCTGAATTTTTAGGCCGCATTCCGGAGGCCGAATGGCATACGTGGAAATTCAAAAAGTCCGAAAGGCGTGATGATAGCCGTTTTCGGAATATCTTCCGCTGACATCGGGATTTGGTTATACGCTTTAACCAAGTCGATTTTTGGAGAATATAGATTCTCCAGATAACGTTGCCGTCAAGTCGTGTATGTGAGACAAAGGGTAGCAATCAGGAGTTGTTTTGGCGTTCACTCGCCGGTAACCACCAGTGGGTCGCCAATCGTTACTATCCTTTTTCGGTACCATATGCAATGGGGATGCCCATGGACTATTCGATGGCCGAATGATGCCAAGGGTGAGCATATGATCGAACTCATTTCTAGCAATTCTCAGTTTGTCAGGGGCCAGTCGTCGTGCTTTAGATGCCACGGGCTGTCCTGAGGTTATGATGTGGTGCATAACATTGCTGGTTATACACGGTAGATCGTTAGATGGGCAATTGAGTTCCGGATATTTGTCAAGAAGCGGTTGAAAAGTTGGATCGAGGATTGCTTTCATCTTAATAATTGACAAGCTGGGGCCTATGTAGGTGATGCCTTCTATAGACAGACTAGTAGTATTGCCAATCAGTCGTTTTCGGCGGACGTCTACGAGCAAATCATGATGATTAAGTAGGTCCGTGCCAATAATGGGCATTGTGACGTCAGCGATAAGGAAAATCCACTGAATAGGTTTGCGTAAACCTACGTTCAGATAGACGTATTTCCGACCATAGGTTGCAATTGGTTTTCCATTTGTAGTCTGTAAGTTGAAGGTAGGTTCTTTCTGTAGATCTGTTGCTGTAGCAGGAAGGACGCTGAATTCGGCGCCTATGTCGACTAAATATCGAGTCTGGCTGATCACATCATGAATGTGAAGTAGGCGGCTAGTGCCACCGGTGGCGGTTGCCGCTAACGCGTGCCGGCGGGATAGTTTCCCACAGTCTTTGAGACGTTGCCGAAGTTGCAAGGTTTAGGTTAACATTTTGCTTCCTGACCGTAGGTGTTGTGATTCCAGCACCAGTCAGGGTTTTTCAGAGAAAGTGGCTTGGACTTAGATCGACCATGTGCGTTCTGCGGTTGAGGGGATTTAGGACGACGGTAGGAGGAATCACTGGGCATGTTTGACCTAAGCATCTGCTGCATGGAGTTGCATCGCTCTATCATCGCAGTATCCTTACTCGAAGTCTGTTTGGCCACCGAGCATATTTCCGGAACTGACAGTTTAGTTATTTCTAGACTTTTATCAGCAGAAACACCCTGAAGTGTCACCAGCACAGTCTGTACTGAATGTGACAGTTTGGATAAAAGGTTCTCTAAACAGCCCTTCATCGAAGTGACTTTGGCCAATAACCTCTCTCATTCTTGCCAGCATGCTCATGGCTGACTGATCACCTAACTCGATATTACGAAATAATTCATCTAGATGCTGTCGAGCTGTGAGAACTTTTCTCCTGAGGAGGGATGCTTTGAGCAACTCGTACAAGTTACTTACCTCTGGACTCGACATCTGCACAGGTACGCACTTGCTGAATTCCCGCGGTAGGGCGTGAATAACTGCCAGGAACTGTGAACGTTGATCGGTTATTCCATGCTCACAAAAATCAGACTCAGCTATCTGAAACCATGTTTCAGCATTATCTGGCTAATATGGTACGAGCTGAATTCTTATGGCAGTATACGAATAACCTTGGGGCTAGGATCAATCATGATGAAATGTATGTCGATTACAATATAGTACAAGTACAAACACAAAAAGGAACGAACTCACCGGGTTTATCTGCGTATTTATTGAAGATGAAGTTTATGGTTGGGCTTACCAGTTTAGAGGTTGACGGTATTGACGTTCGCCAATTGTACGGAGTACACTGACGCAAGATCTTATACCAACAACTTCTATAGTATTCATTTCTCGTGTACCGAAGATAAAGCCAAAGACCAGATTTAGTCGTCCAAAGTACGTGATATATTTCGGGACCAAATAGTAAACCGTTTCGAGTGCTTATCTAGCAAGTGTTCGTGCACGCACGTGATACGACGGAGTACCAAATGGCAAGGATGCTTGACCGGAAGCCTTCAGATAAACAAGTCGACTTAAACAGTGAGGGTCAGCATCCAATGTTGAGTGATGATTGCTGTGGTCAATAATTTTGGGGAATTATTTACCGCTACAATGGCAACTTTTAGATTATTATGAAATAAAATTTTTAAGAAGCTATATCCAGTGAGGGAATTGAATCATATGTGTGAATGCATAAAATAATAACTATAGTATGAAATGCAATTAAAATTAAAATGTTTGTTATTATAATCATAGTTAAATATCAAGTGGCAAAGTAATTAATATCACATGTAGGATAATTCTTAGGATGGAAAGAGTGTGCAATTATAGGATTAGTAGGCAAATCGAATAGGAAAATCCTAATAGAAAATGGGTTTCCACTTCGTTTTATAGATAGGAATATGCATTCAAATCCTATGAAAAGTGACTTATCATCCACACCCAAGAAAATACTGTACATGAGCTTGGAATTCAAAGGTGACTTAGCTTTCGATATCATAAAAAGAAGGATATCGCAGTCCCTGAAAAGAACACACCCTGATGCGTCTTTAAGAATAGCCTTTACCAGTCGACCATTACTGTGCAATAACTTGAAGGACAGGATATCGCTGTTGACCGATTCTGTGTGTGTTTATCAATTCACCTGCTCGTGTGGAGCTAGGTATATCGGTCGTTCGACTCAAGTTTTGTCCAAGAGGGTGCAAGGACGCTTTCCTGCATGGTTACGAAGAGGTGGAAGTGGAGCAATAAGAAGCACGATCATTGAACATCTGGTCGATAATGATCACCCTATCTCTATAGTCTCCGCCTTCAAAGTCATCTACAAGGCAAAGAGTAATTTACCCAAATCCCTACGTACCCGACTCATCTGTATTGCTGAAGCTTTGGCTATCGAAACAGAAAAGCCAGATCTCTGTGTACAGAAAAAAGTTCGTTCAACCCCCCCAACTTTCATGGTCTTAATCCCTATATGCTAAAATATGGTAATCCCTAATCATATTTTTGCCCTGCCAAATTTTTCATTTTGTCTATTTAATTTGTATACTCTTCTTTTATTACGTCAACTGTTACTATTCTCACTTTGAACTGTCCCCGGCATTGTTTCCCTTGTCATTCTAAATCAATTATATTTTGATTTGACACTAGTAACTAGTGTGATGCGTCTAGTCCTCTCTTTGGTGCAGAGTGAATTCTGTCAGTCAGGTTGTAATGTGGCCACCATTCTAGGTAGCTCGCCATCACGGTGTACATTGTTTCTGATGATATTAGGTGGTTGGAGACAATCGGCAGGAAGCCTTGGACCTAGGTTTCGTGCTAGTTGGCACTCACCAGTCAGCAAGGCGTATCTGCAACCTTGAAGGAACTCATGTCCCTTCTGAGATTCGAACCCGCGTCACCCAGTGCTGCAGTCAGAGAAGTTACATCAGGCTCGCGACTGACCTCCTGTAGGACTCTTATTGCATTGTATTATTTAGTGGTTCTGGTTCAATATTCGAGAAGAAAATTTAGGCAAGACAACTGCATTAAATCGCATTTACTTTAGACGCTACTATCTCCTAATTTTTTTTTCAAATTTCTGGCTTCCTACAGTATTACAATGAATTCAATGCAAAAGTTTATCGTGAACCAACTGTTCTTACTTAGTTACAGCAATGTAATTGATTGTAACCAATGGTACAGTGTTCATTCGTCCGTTTCTCATAAAAAGTCTGCTGTGGTATTTCAAAAACATACGTTAATTTGTGAAATTGTTATTTCACTGTCATGTAAAGATGGCATCGACAGTCGGTTGTTCAACAGTAGAATGATGGCCAACCACGCAGATTTTCCAGGATAGATTCCCAAACGATGCACTCCTAATCTCAGCCTAGAGAATTCACGCCGTAAAATCGAACAAAACTACCGCTACTGAAATCTCAGGGCCCTGTGTTGCATTCAAAATGCGAAGAGATGGAAAGAAGACGATTCTCACGACTAATACACCGAATGAACTTTAGATATAACTACTGAATTAGTCGAGTTTCTTGGAAGAGAACAGTAAAAGAAATTAAACCCTGTGTCATTACATTCCGTTTGATTCGTAAAACTATTTTGTTGAGAAATACAATTACACATTTGAAAAAAACCTTAAAATGTTGATCGTACAGAAATTGAATGCACTGTACTTCTCATCACATGAATAATTTAATTTACAGAGTTTATTATTTCTGTCATGAAGATGCAGATCATGCAGAATTTTACAATTTCATTGATATTATAAAGATCAGTGAACAGACTGACAGTCTCGAAATTAGTTTGGTCTGTAAACAATACTGAGTAGAAGTTAACGTACACAGGATTGTTTGAGATACAAAAAAACACCAAACCGACTCAACAAAATATTCAAACAGACTTAAGCTTTAGAACAATGAAATAGCAATCCATCAAAACAATCTGTTGTTTATCAAAAAGCAAGAATTGACAATCGGACAATTCAAATCACTTAGTAATCAGGTCCACGTGAGACTACTTCTTTACATGTAGGTCTTAGTAAAATTGTATGCTCCCATTGGGCAGTATATGATCCACGTTGGTCACACAAAGGAGGATAAGGATCTACTATTCCCACATCACATAAGTTCTTCAAAGCCATTAGATATTTCGTTTCACCAAGACGATCCAACCATCGGCGGCAAAAAGCAAGGGTACTGAAATTACGGTCGATCACATTTAACAGTTGTTTAGACCTGGCTAACCTGAAAAAATGGGAATTTGAGTGAACATTAGGAAATTTACATAGAAACCAAAATAATTATAAATAAGCAAAAAGAATGATAGTGATTTGGCGAATCTGTAACTATTTCACTAAAAATACTAAGGAAGTAGTCCACACTCAGCATGAAACTAATAGAAGTTTGATAAAGATACACAGAATGCAGTAATATGACACTACTAAAGTCTGATCTTATTCAGGTTAGAAGTTAGTTCAGTTCTAGAATCTAACGACAATTATATCTCACTCTCATATGGTAATACAATTGTTTTTAATTGCTACCATGACAGCACCAGTCCAATACCCATATATCTCAACTTGATAAAAGAAAATCAAAGTCCGTGGGCTCTAAACACACGGGTACATAGTTTACTTTTGATGATAAGCACAATAAAACCTGATAAGCCCATAATAAAACATAACAAATGAGTTGATCTTTATGAAAATTTCTTGCTTTGTTTAATTATTGTTAAAACAGTCTATATCTGACTACGATTGTGAACTGTTCGAAGTAGTGATTCAAAATACAAAATGCTTGAAAGGTTTGGACTATGGACAGATGAGTTTGTTACCCACAGAAATAGGTGAATACAAAGTTGGCCTAAACAGCCAATAGTAAAATGGAGGTTGATAAACACACTAATTAAGTGAAAGCTTTATGATAATTTTAAAAAAATGTATAAAGAGGACTTAGCTATAGTAAAAGAAACCTTATTTTATTGGCATTAACATCTATTAACATACCTTAAGGGAATATGGCCAGCATCGAAATTCTTCATATAGTGTGAAACTTCATCCCCATCAATAACGTAACCTTTGCCTGTACTACCAAACGTTTCTATAGCGTAATATTCGTTTTCCTGAAAACAAGTAAATACAATTTAGTAGCAAGGCTTATAAACAGACGCAGTAATCCAATGTGTCCAAAAATTTTAATCGGACGGCTACCTTCCACAATAAAATGCAGAATAAATGATAAAAACCAATTTCAAAAGTCCTTTCCCCCACCTAAGCAACAACTACTTCTATCTTTCATGCATTGACTCAATTTGTTGCATCCAATAGGATGTGTATACAGATGAATGCAAAAAATTAACCTATCATCCGTATTCTAACAAAACAAAAAAATGTGAATGCATAGAATGACGGATTTATTCCGACATTCGAATAAATTATTTAGTAGTGCAACAACCGAAAAAAGCAACCAAATCTAATAGTTTAATTATAAGTTGCCGGACATATAGCGCCTTAATATTTCTAGCTTGAAACACACCGAGTAGCATTATCTGCTGCTAATATCTGATAAAAGCCTATGAAACAAGAGGTTTTGGTAAGGGATTGGATTGGTTTCAATGCAGACCTCGTCATAAACCAACATCAGTTAGAGATCATTGAAAACCAGAGAGTACTGGATAGCCATTTAGTCCTAGTTTGCTGTCCTTCAGCAGTGCGTAACCATTAGCCCACCAGGGGTTGAACCCAGGACCTTCAGGTTACAACATCAAGCTCGTTGACTATTCACCTACTTGGACCGGAAGTCAATGAATTCTAACTAATGCCTTCGATGAGCAGACACTTCACCTTGACATGGTGAGCGCCATTGGATGAATAATCAACAAGCTTAGTTTTGTAACCTTAAGGTCCCGGATTCGATCCCTGGTGGAGTAATGAGCACGCAGTTCTGAAGGGTCCCAAACAAGGACGAAAGAGCTGTCTAATGCTCCCAGCCTTTCGATGATCTCTAACTGATTTTGGTTCGTGACAAAAAGTATACATTGAAAATGAGACGGTATCATCTTATACTGCAAATATGGTCTGTGTTTCGAAACTTATCGAGAGAACCACGTGTATAAAAATCACACAGATCAACAGACAGACAGACTACAATTTCTGACAACCATCTGATATTGTAGAACAAAAGTGTACAAATCCAACTGTAAAGATCAAGAGACCGAAATTGCTGAATAAGATATCGTCAATGTATGTTTTTTTTCAAAACAGATTAATAGGAAAAAGAGATTAATACTCAAATTGAAAGTTGACTAACTACTAATAGATGAACTATGTAGTTTTACTGTATCAAACACAATTCACATTTTCTAATCACTATAACTATTAACAAGTTGAATTTTGAATAGTTAACAACCACTGAAAAAATAGGTAAGATGACACACACATCAACACATACCTCCATTCGAGTTTGTTCTCCTCCACGTACAATTGGTACAGTCTTCCCAGCATGAATCTGATAAGGTCCCAACGAATGACCATTCAAATTACGTATAGGCTTCACTAAAGAAATACAGTAATGTAACAAAACACTAAATATGTATTCTATATGCTAATAGAATATGGATCAAATCACTAACACAAAGAGTAGTCTATAGAATGGAATGTTTAAAAAGTCAAGGGTATAACGTATGATTGTCAAAAATAATTATTGTTATTCACGTAGAAATATGTTAATACTCATATGTGTACTCCTATTTTCAGGAGACAAACTATAAGCAATTCTTTTTTAATTATATACAAGCTTTGAAAATGATTTAGTGACATGAAGTTATTTAGCACGTACTCTGAAATTAATGAGGAAGTCTGCTGCACTCAGCACAAGGAATAAGATCCGAATTTCTTAAACTAGTGTCAATTCACTTCAGTACTCCCATATGATTCAAGGACTTGACGCGTTACAAAAAACAATTCCAATGGGCTAACTCAGACTTTTATCAACAACTGCCTTCGTCTCATACTGAAAATCACATAAGCAGAAAGCATAAACAACAAAGAAGTCTGGCAAAGAATCAACCAAGAACCCATCACCCAACAAATTTGCAGTAGGAAATGGAGTAGACATATACTGCGAAGACCGTTGAGTGACATCACGCGTCAGGTCTTCGGATGGACCTCAGATGTAGAATAACAAGTTAGGCGTCTTAGGGTGACATGGAGGAGATCGTGTGAAGAGGAAATGAAAGCTTATGGGCAATTGTAAAACCCGATAAAATGGACTGTTGAGAACAGGGTGAGATTGAAATGTGCTGCTGCTGTTCCACTCGAAACCCAAGGAAATCATGTACTCGTGTACTGACAAAAATGGACAATCATTTAAAGTATTGACATCGTAGAGAGACTAACCAAGAAATTACATAATTTGGTAATATTTGTTTGATGATAGCTAACAGCAGAGTTTAGATAGCATATTTCAACCGATTTGGAGCTCATCAGTCAAATGTTGTTCCGTATCAGTCAATTATGATGTTCGAAATCAAAAAGCACAATGGAACTACTCGATTATTGGTTTACACATACTTTTTATTTTAATGTCTTAAAAGCAGGTAGAAAGTTAGTAAGAAGCACTATTGAAATAAACTCTACACAAAGGGTGGATATGTATTTAGTTTATCTAAACAATAATATTCATTGAATTTTTCTCTTTTACAGTTAGAAAACAATATAGAATGTGTTCAACATAGTTTTGAAAATCATGTTTTCGTTTATGGTTATACCTATTTATAAGTGGTTGAGTTTTTAAGAGACAGAGTTCGTCGAGGATTATTATTGTCTCCTTTAGTTCCTAGAGGAACATAGGGCTTCAGCTAAACGTCTCCATTGCCCTTCCGGTTCTCTGCCAACGTTTTCACCTGTCTCCACGTTTGCCCACACGCTTTCATCTCCTCTTCACATGACCTCCTTCACGTCACCCTCGCACTGACAACCAACTCGCCGCTTCCCGTTCGGGTTCCACTCCAGCAATGGCCTAGCGTGTGATGTCACTTGATGGTTTCCTCAGAGTATGGCCAATCCACCTCCATTTCTTCCTGCATATTTGTTGCACAGTTGGCTCCTGCTGGGTTCGTTCGCTCATTATCAGAGATTTCTGTTACTGATCTTTTTCTGACCGGCCATCTGATCTCAAATATTGAGCGAAGACAGTTATTGATGAAGGTCTATAGTTTGTTCGAAGTTCTCTTCATGTCGCGTCAAGTCTCTGATCCGTATAGTAGCACTGACTTCACATTGGAGTTGAAAATCCGGATCTTATTTTTGATGCTGAGTGCTGTTGACCTCCACACAGACATGAGAGTAATGAAAGCTTGTCTTGCTTTCCCGATCCTTGCTTTGATATCCTCGTCAGTTCCGTCCGCCTGTAGTAAAAACGATGCTTCCCAGGTCGGTAATTAAAGGAGGTTGCTTCTTTCAGATTTCTCCCATTTATGCTGATTGTTATCTGTTGTTGTTGCTGCTGCTGTTGGCCGGAAATCTTCATCACCTCTGTTTTCTCTATGTTCACCTGAAGTTCTATCTTTGATGTCAGGGACTAAATAGTAGAAATCATTAATAAATTATGACCTTAAATCCTTTGTTAGCAAGAACATAAAGTTATGGTAATCAGTTTTGAAGTTATTCAGCAATTATGATTGGTCAGTTCTGAAATGAAATTCAAATGATTTCGAGGCATACCTTAACAGTAAATACTAAACCCTAGAAATTTAACTTGATGTTAACAGTAGTTGAGTGGAAGTGATACTATGCCAGACTTATAAAAAACGTATTTTTATATTTTATAGAAAAATTGTGAAGTTTCGTCCAAAAAGATGTACACAAAAAAGTTATAACAGTTAAAATAATCATAGTAAACATGAAATTTAGCGGGGATTGTTTTTCTATACAAGAGATCTAAACGCTGATTGCTGATAGCACCACCAACAAGACTAATATTACTTGTTACAAAAAATAGTATATTTAATTCAATGTATAAAATTCTTAATGTACATATGATATATAACCGTTCGTAGAATTCATATCATTTAGAAAAGGACTCAAAATTCTTTCATAATACAACTTGGGGGTAACCAATACAGATTTTCCGATCAACTACACTAGGCACATGTGTCCGGTATGAGTTACTTAGTTGTCACTTGTATTTCAATGCAGTTGACAATCAGCTACACCCATAGTGTGAGAGCTAATGACAATACCTGGTCACTGAAACCTTGGAAAGTGGAACGGGGTCGCAACTCACTACCCACCTAGTAGTTGGCAGTCGAGAGCCTAGCCCAATAAGCTACCCGTAATATTGTCTAATTGATTAGAAAATAAATTACTTGGAAATAAAAATGTTGATAATTAGTTGGTCGCATGTCAGATATATAAGAGTATATCACCCCTTTGCATAGTAATGTTAACGCCAGTGCGTGTATAACAATAATATTTAAGTTACAGGATTTCATCATGAGCTGACATTGGTTAGAGAACCATTGGAAAACCTGGGAGTACTGAACAGCTGTTTCGTCCTAGTTTTGGACTCTTCATCGGTACGCACCCACCGGGATTCGAACCCAGGACCTTCTGGTTACGAGGCGAGCTCGTGGACCATTAAGCCACTGGGACCCAACCCGATCCAATGGTCCATGAATTCTAACTTCTGCCAATTCACAAACCAATACTTGAAAACCATAATAAGTACTTAATTGGTGGATGGTGACTAGCAGTGGAATCCAGGATGCGCATTTCGTCCTATTTGGGACTTATCATCTGGATGCATCTGCATTCCCCAGAGAGTGATGATGTTCCCACCGAGGCTCAAACCCAGTGTCCATAGTCTCAAACGCTAAAGCGTTATCCACTAGACCACTTGGGCCACGAGAGCCACCTCTTGTGCAACGGGACATATTAATTATTCAATTGAATTTTAGATTTTCCCCTCGATTGATTGGACCGAAGTGCATCTACACAAGAAGTCGACATGTCAACCTGAAACCGAGCGTTTCGGTTCGATTAATCGACGGGAAAATCTAAAATTCAATTACATAATAAGTACTTCATAGAACTACTTTCCTTTATTAATTTTTGTAAAGCAAGAGCAGTACGCATAACTGGATGAATTGAATTCCATATCATTTTGTCTGGCTCTAAATTGAAAAAAATTATACACAATTTACCAATAGGCATAGATGCTAGAATAGCTTTTAGAGCCATTCACAGCTTAGTCATCTTAAGCTATCACTAATAATCTGGCTACTGTAGCAGAATGCAATTACATGTTACTTATGTTTATTTGAGGAGATAAAACACAATAAGATAGTATTATTTACTAGATGATGTTTGAAACATGATTTTTTGTTTACAGCTATATCTGAAAATGGAAACATCAAATAAGCACCGCTGATATGACAGCATTACACACTTTGCTTAGATTCTTCCATTTACAGCAACTTATTTGTACATATATTTTTGATTGGCTAGTTAGACCTCTTAGTTTGTTTACTTGTAAACACACTGTACTCAGACTTCTTCATTTATAGTTAAACTTACTTAAATGACATAACTTGAAAATGAATTATTTGAAGAAAAATACAGGTTTCTTTATAGTTAGAGTTTTTCTGTTGTTGTTTGTTTTCAATATTGCTGAATGCAAATTATTCAATCAAAATTTTAGAAATAGAAAAAAGTTTATTCAACTTATTTAAAATCAGGATATAATTGTCTGATTTGATTACCTTGATAAGTGTTTCCATCAAGTTCAACCTCATAAGATTCCATAGTTTCTTGAATAGCTGCTCCGATATCACATAAACGAACATCAATGCCAGCCTCCTAATATCAAATAAGATGAAAGTATTTATAGCACAATATATGGCAAAGTTAAACTATAAGCACTCGTAAGTACCAACGGACAGATGATCTTGAAAGCACCAGCCACATGATAAGGGCGATTTTTGAGTATAAAATACATATATTCATGAAAATAATGGATTAAAAGGCATGAAACTGTTACACAGGATACCTTGCTCTGATGTGTGACAAAAATACCTCTCAGTTTTGGATTGGATTATCGACAGAGTAATTTAACGACATTCTGTGCATGTAATTGTCTAGTCTGATAGCCCTAACAATAACCCTAATCTTTCCTTAACCTAACCCTAACGTGAAAATATCCTCAAACTAACCTACCCCGATCTCGCCCTCATTAGGTTAACCTAACCCTAACCTGTCCTTAGCGTAAACCTTAACTTAATCTTTGCCAAACCTAACCTGAAACTTTCCAGATATTCCATTCAATAACAACGCTCCATTAGGCATATTTTATCCATGATTACAATATTATTTACCAGGTTTTATTGGTGCGGTCACACTCCACTGGTACTTACTGGTGCTTAAAGTTTAACTTGGCCTAATACATTAATATGCGCTGGAGTATATTAAAATAGCAAACAATAATCAGCAGTGTATTATTTGTGAAAATAATATATACTAAGTGAGTTTGAAACGTATTTTTCATTTCTTCTTAACAGATAATTTTTACTAAGGATATGAAACTTAAGAGAATGTCATTATTTTTACAATAATTTAATTACTTAAATTAATTAATGTTGATCAAGCTGTCCTTGACTAGAGATGTTTGTGTTCTATCTCCCGTGTCAAATGGTATAATACAGTGAGCCATACTAAGATTAGGTGTCGAGTGCTACGTAAGTAGGGTAAGCCAGTCGACTGAGATGGCTACGACACATGTTGGGCATGCTGAACCACTGCCCTCTTCGCCAAGCAATGTTAGCTGACATAGGATTAGGTTGGAAAAGAGTTAGCGGTGGTCAAATCGAAACATGAAATAATCCATTTAGTCTTTGACAGTTGGTTTGAGCCAAGTAGACAGGTGTTGATTGACTAGTTGGGATCCTCAGGATGCTTAGAACCAAATTAGCTGGTGATTACTGGTGGTATGGTTCAAAATCGTTCTCAACAACCCAGATTCATTTACTTTTTGTAATCTCACAAATCCACTAAACCCTCGTGTTCTTCCATGTCATTATTCTTTCTCTCTCACATTTCTGCTTATTATAGTTCTTCGAGTTTGACGACGGATTAATGTCAGTTAGAGAACCACTGAAAACCAGGGAGTGAGGATGGATTTCCAGCCGATGACACTGGTTGGTGGTCGCGTTAAAATCATGAATTGGTAGAAGTTAGAATTCATGGGCTGGCCATCGAATCGGGTACCAGTAGCTGAATGGTATGCGAGCTTGTCTTGTAACCGGAAGGTCCTGGGTTCGAACCCCAGTGGGTGCGTACTGCCAACGATTCCCAAACCAGGATGAAACAGCTATCCAGTACTCCCGGCTGGTTTTCAATGGTTCTCTAACTGATATCAGCCCATGGTCAAACTCGAAAAACAAATCAACTCTTGAATGTTATAGTTCTTTTGAATATCTTTTTTCTCTTTTCTCTACATGGGATATGGCAAATTGAAATGTTGCATTTCTGTGCAGAGTTCGATGTCGAAGCTTAATCAGTCAATCAGTTTGAAAATACTCAAATGTGATAAAGTACACTGATTAAGATGTCAAACACACACACGTAACTTGTTCATAAAACATATTACTGTTATACATTAGTGTTGGTGGTAATTATTACACCTTTTAAATTTATAATTCTTTTAACTCTGTTGCAAATTTACTGTCAAAGGAGACTTCAGAAACACACGTCAATACAGAAATGTGAATAATGTATATTTGTAGAGGAATTTTTTTACGAAGAAATGATTTCCTCTATAACTTCATGAGTAAATCTCTTACAGTTTTGAGAAACGGTTGTTTAAATGAGGTAGAAGCATAGAGTAAAAAATGCTGGCGCTAGCTCGGCAATGCATCATAGATAATAAGCATGAATAAGTGAAGTGTTGAGTTTCCATCGATTAAGGTGAAGCAGGATAAAGACACAAAAGAAGTTAAGGATAGTCAGACGAAAAAACAGCAGTGACTAACGATGTTTGTGACTGAACAATGGAGTAGTATGTAATATCTGTTCTCTTTATATATATATATATATGCACTGTCTTAAAGTGTGACAACTTGAAATTATGGAATGTAGTACAATATTTGTAAGTCTAATTCCCATTTAGTCGGCTCAAGTCAACACCAACCCCCTCCCTTGCACTTAGGCTGTAAAGTAATGTGAGTACATAAAATAAAAGGGTTTAGGTTATTCTTTTAAAGTGATAAAATAGTATTGATATATGTTCATTTTAAGACAACTGAGATATTTGAAAACAGCGAACAAGATGATTCAGAAATGTATGCTAGTCTACTGATTGTAGTGAATTTCATGACATAATCAAAGCATCCAACACTGACTTATTTTCTATAGCTACAAAGAATTGATCTACTTCCTCTTTGGTTGCCTAGATATATTAATACGCTGTTTTCAGTATTCTTATAGCTATTTTTTTATTTTATTTTATTATAGGTAGTATGGGAGTGCTACTGACCAGATTTTATAAGTAGTATATTGTGTATGATGTCTTCTGCAAGAATATTGAATAGCGGAGGAATGTAAGATCCTTGTGAAACATGCAAGGAAGACAAAAACACAATAAGGAGAACGTGTGCAAATGGAGACTCCAGTGTAAGGTATACATTTTTTGCCATATCTGTACATCAATTCGCTAATAAGTAGTTCTGCTACCAAATACTAACGTGTTTTGCTGTTACAGTGGTAGTATATGTAGTATCATGACTACGATTGCCTGTATAAGATATATACATTTGTGTAGTGCGTTGGTAGTGTAATGTCAGAATGCTCCCCAACCACGCACATGGTCTGGATTCGGTTCCCAGTCGACAGACTCCTAAACGTTGCTTAGCTGACAGCAAGTCCTGTAAGGACGGTAGGCTGGGGGTGAGACTAGCAACCCCACCTAGTAAAAAACCACCGGTGTTACTGAAATGTCAAAGTTCAAGCTTGAAGCCCCATGTTCCACTCGGAACTTAAGGGAGTATATATGTATATAAGACCGAATGTTAAAACTACTCAAAGTATACTTACTTTGATGCCAGTATTAGTTGCATCTTTAACAGCTTCAACCAATTTATCAAATTTGGGATTGAAATGAAGTGTGAAGGCGCAGTCAATTATACGACCTGGAATTTCAAAAACAAAAAAGAAGACAAGTGATTAAAATTAAATACTTGAGCTTATGGCTTTCGTGTTCAAAGTTGGTTTTCGCACGGATCGATATCAAATTTATGCGATCAATAAACAGAAATGTGACATAAATAGCTGATGTTAGTGTGACTCTGATGTTTTTCTAGGTTAGCAATACCACAGCACATAGTAATACAAGCTCAAATTTCGTTAAGCCAATGTCTTACAAAAAGGGTTTATAATAAACATATGGGTGTGAAATTTTCTTGTTATTACAAGAAAAGCTTTCTAAACTTTAAACATCTGAAAATGTAAGAATGAAATTCCAGTATACCTCACGATTTCACTAGTCCATATACTTGGATTACAAAGTTCAACATTTGGGATACGATATCCTATTTTGAAAGGCTATTATCTTAATGGGTTAGTTTATAATAGATCGTTAAACATAATAATAGTTTTAGTTTATACCTATTTGACTACTTCATATTATGATCGATAAAATAAAGATGCCTAAACTAACTAAAGGATGAACAAAATGATGTGAAAAATGCAACTCCTTCAGAGCTTATTAAATAATTCAAAATATACACATTCTTTTAAACAGAAGCATATGCTAAAATCAATCGTAAAACTATCAAATCATCAATCAGAATTAGAAAACATTACATGCTTAAACACATTCACAAATCAATTCATTTACTAACCATTGACATGCACACCAAAATCAATTTTGCAAACATCATCATAATTTAGAACTGTATTATCACCACCATTTGGAGTGTAATGAGCAGCACAATGATTAATTGAACAACCGGTTGGAAAGGCTAAACCTGCAGTAAGTCCACGTTCTAAAATCAATGCACGACTAGTTCGCTCTAGTTCTTCACACATATCAATGAGACGAACTCCAGGACGTATCCATTTTTTAATGTGATTTCTCGTTTGTCGGTGAACCTCTGCACCTTCACGGAAATTCTGGTAAATTTCTATATGCGCGTTGTCACGGGCTTTGCATTCCTCTGACGTTGTACGATTAAGGGCTGTTCGACTGGAATAAAAACAGGATGTAAATAATTACATTAAATCGAGGGATAGTATAAAATATTGACATTATCAAACTTTTCTATTTGAAAGGTGAAACAAAACGGATTTAGAAGCAAAATAGCAATCAATCTAAAAAAAATGAGCTCCTTTAAGACAGGCAAACATGCTAACTTAAATAAAACTTAATTCATTTTCTCGCTACCATGTAACTTTTATAGCGCATAGTGCATATTGCCTAATAATCACACGCTGCCGATGGACCACATACAAGCTAGGACTCACAATACTACTTATTTACCTAAACCTTAGTAGACAGAGCAAGATCTGAACCCATGACCCATCACTATCTAATCTAACGGCCTACAATCTAGACCTTCAATGATCAGTGCTGCCACCAAATCAAAACAGACGATTGACTTTTCAGTGTTCCCTGTTGTAGTTTGGCTAATCTTAATTACCATTCAAGGCACTATACACATCAATGGGAGTCAACTGAGTTCAAATTTATTAAGGTAACCCAACGGTAGTCGGAAATCACTAAAACGGCCTTTCGAGATTTCAAAAAGCAGACTGTTACATTCTACCAATTTATAGGGGCTTAATTCTTTCACGCTTTTCTCAACATGCATAACAGCTGTACAGCTGATTTGAGGCTGCGGTTAGCTGGATGCAAGTTGAAATGAAACAGGTAGCTTCAGGTGCTTTTTTCTTCTGACAAACTTATCTTATGTTACGCTACCTTACAAATGAAACAATTAAAACTATTCTAATTCTTTTTTGATGTGATACTCTGCGCGTATAGCACAAGTAAATGAACAACACATAAGAATTAAGAAGGCAGAAAATAGTATGATGTCTTTTTGAGCATGATTTAACCAGTTCAAACACACGAAAGATCAGTGCTTCTGTGTGACATCATCATAAAGTATTAATAATGTTTCAGAATTACTTCAAGCAATAACTTTTGCGGTCAAAAGTTATCGATATCACGAAAGCTTTCCAAATTTTTTCAGTAGAGTTGCTTGGTAAGCTGAATTGTGCACGTTGAAGACATCATGACAAAATTTTTATCTACACGGATATCAGTGTCTTTTTAAATAAAGACAATCTGCTGTGATATTTCTAAGAAAAAGAAATATGACCACCAATCTTGTCAGCTGGTAACAATCAATCGCTCCCGCAAAACTATGTATAGCATAATTATGAACTTCTGTATATAAAAAAAAGGTTTTAGTGTTTTTTTAATAATCTAACACCTTTTGTGAATATTTCCATGGTCAACAAAGAGAACTTTGAAACAGCTGCATTTTTCTTCGCCGACAACTATTTTACTTATTTATTTATTTATTTAAACGCAGAAAAAACTTGGTACAATATGGCACCAAGAAAGATGCGCCACACAATAATAATAAAACAACATAGATTAAAAGTAAAAATATAGGTAGAAAACGGATAAAGAACTTCATCAGGAAGGAAAACAGTCATGTTTAACAAGTTCAAACAGTATTCGTTAACTATCATCAGGAAAGGAAGAAAGAAGGAAATTGCAACACGTTCGCCATTGATTACGATTCTTGGCCATATCCGATAACGTTTCGAGCCATCGATTCGAGCTATCTCGCGGACCCCAACCAGGGAGTCGTGACGCGCCAACCGATGCTAATCTACCAAAAATATCCTTCATCCCACGACGCCACGTCATGGACTGACCACCTCTCCGCCTTTTCCTTCCCGTCCCAGGGCTAGCGAACAGAGACCTGTACGGAAGCCTCTGGGATAACATTCGCAGCACATGTCCAAGCCACCGGAGCTGGTGTTTCCAGATGACGACACTCAATGAATGGTGATCTCCACTGTGTTCAAACACACGCCGCCGAATCTCAGAATGACTCATGCGATGATGCCCTCGAACGCAAGTAATCCTATGGAGACAGCGATGATCGAACACGCAGAGTCGCCTCACATCCTCAGCTCGGAGAGGCCAGGTTTCACAGGCGTAGAGCAAGACAGTCCGCAACGAAGCATTGTTTACCCGACCTTTGACAGCCAGGATAACGTCGCGACGGCGCCAGAGGTGGCTCAAGTTGATGTATGCCACCCTAGCCTTCATTATACGGTTGGAAATCCCATCCGTCACTCCTCCGCCAGCACTCACACAACTACCCAGGTACAAAAACTTATCAACAACTTCAAGCGGTTCACCCGCAAGAGTGAGTGCAGGTACAGGCTCCTGCCAATCTTGTAACAGTACTTTGCACTTAGACGGTGCAAAGCACATACCATACTCACAGACACTGATCGCCAACTGATTAAGTGCGATTTGGGCAGCTTGCATGCTATCGCACAGTAAGACGATATCGTCTCCATACTCGAGGTCGAAAAGTCTATCTCCAGGTAGCAGATCTACACCACCCTCACGCACATCCTTCAGAGCTGACTCCAGAATGTCATCGATGGCAAAGTTAAAGAGAAATAGAGAGATTGGGCAACCCTGTCTAACCCCACTGTTGGTTGGGAACAGTGATGATAGTTGGTTGTATGTCCTCACTCTACCTGAGGTGTTTCTGTATAGGGCTTCCAAGATGTCAACAATTTTCTCAGGTACACCCTTCTCTAACAGGCAGTTCCAGAGCACAGTTCTGTCCAACGAATCGAAGGCAGCCCTAATATCAAGAAACACAACGATCGTTGGCCTGCAATACGTGGGGCAGTGTTCCAACAACTGACGAAGGGTGAACACATGATCAATGCATCCACGACCTGAACGAAACCCAGCCTGCTCTTCGCGAATCAATCCGTCACGTATTTTGCACAGCCTGCGAAGCAAGACAGCAGCCAATAATTTAGACGCGACTGGTAGCAGACTGATACCCCTATGATTGTCACACGAATTACGTCGACCCGTTTTAAAGATGGGGACAATAATGGCTTCGTTCCACATTGATGGTACACTCTCAGCTTCCCATACCTTCCTGAACAACCCAGTTAGAGTCATTGTGAGAGTATCGCCACAATCTTTAAAAAGAGTCGGGGGTAAATTGTCTGGGCCGGGCGCCTTATAGCGTTTTAACACTTGGAGTTCCTTACGGACCTCCGCTTCGGTGGGTGGGTAGGCATTAACCGACCAAAGAGCACTGGGGCTAATGACAACAGACATTGAAGCTGGTGGTCGACAACTATAGCCACACTTAAGAGAATCCAACACAATCCGCCGAACAGATTCAAAGAAACTAGTTTGTAGATACAATATGGCTATCACAAACTAACTATCCCACAATCTATAAAATTATTCTCACTAGTAGAAAGCCCAGAACCTAAAAGACATAAATTATATTCAATACAGTCATGTGTTTCAAGAGTTTTAACTTTACATTACGAAACAATTAAATATATTTAAAAAGTATTCTTATCACCCTGATTAATAGACTTTTAAGTGTGGAAGTAAAACTTATCAAAGTTACTAACCCGTCAACATTTGGTGCATAGTCAATAATTTCACCAACTGGAAAATCTCCCTTGGGATATAACTGACAGATAGGAATGGAGGGTGGATCCGTCTGAACAGCATCTGTATGAGATTCAGTAGAGGCTGGATTTTTGGATTTTGACTTTTTCTTAGATTTTTTGCCAGTAGAAACCGCATTTTCTCCAACGTCGGCCGAGACATCACCGGTTTCATTTTCCTCCACTCCATTCTCATCATTACCACCATCAACACAGACATAGTTAGATATATGTTGTACATACCTGCACATTTACTAGACTTCTTTTTGTGTTTTCTTTTCTTTTTTGTACCTGCTGTAGCCGGCGTATCTCCATTTATTGTTGCAACTTCCTCCAGTTTTTGACATACTTCATCCAGACTATTTTCAGGTTTATCGGGTACTGTAGTGCACTCCATGACTTTAGTGTACCAAAAGACAATTTGGAACTGAGGGCCTGCCGAGTAGGTGTATTAAACACTAAATAGAAGTGCTTTGGAATTAGTTGTATACAGTAGGAGCGGAGCTGTCGAACTACAAAAGAGGAAACAAAATAGTTTGCTCAAGATCCAAGTGTCAAACCTAACTTAAACGACAATACGAATTTAAACATTATCATTAGTGCTACTTCTCGTAGTCACTTAATGACTGGAATTATACAAAATATGCACTAAGACCTTTGAACCAGTGCTGTTTTGAGAATCATGTGAAACTAAACGATGGAGACTATCGAATTACAATTTGCATCAGACACAATGGTGTCGTCATTGCATTTAAATTCTAGCATCCTAACACTGTACATGAAGAAATTCGCAGTGTGATTAGATTAGGTAAAACCAATAAAATTGCGTTTCACTAACATTTTTCATATGCAAATCAAGTAACCACTTACAGGTCAGCTTTAGAAAATCAACACTGATGAATACCATTCGTTCATATAATAAAAATTATTCTTCATTGTGGATTAACAATGGACAACTCAGAAATGAGGGGAATTAACACGTACAAAGTTGTTGGAGAAAGAACGAAATAAAAGAATAGATTTCGCAACTATCTAAGACACTTACCACTTTTATTAAATCTATAGGGTTCAGGGATGTTATTTGTGGTGACTCAAAGAAACATACTTTCTGGAATCATTATTCTTTTAGGTTTTATTATAGCTGGTAGGCTAACTGAGCACTAAAAAGCTAACAGCAGTTACCATTATACTTTACACTGTGGTGGAATATTTGGCAGCGATAGTGTGCCCACAAGTAGCCAGCATTTAACCTGAATGAACTTTAAATTTCACGTTTGAAACATTCAAAGAAATCTGGTTGCAAAAACGATATTGCAACCTTTCGTTGCCCGCGACGTGCTTCTCTATGTATGGACAGACCTGCAGAAAAGCCCAATCACTATATAATTTACGTGCGTCAGGTTACAGGAAGAGCGTTGTGATGACGAAAAGCATTCCCCTTCCAGTTCCCGCAAGAAGACATGTCTTAGACTAATACTTTCAATACAATTTGCTTGCTCATCACTTATTTTCATTCTTATCCTTTGCTTCTGATTACTTTTTTCATTAATAATATTACGCCCAGTTGGGTTTCGGCAACTTTTCCTAAATTTGCAACTAATGCTATCGGAATGTTATTTCTAAGACCTTGGGAGCAAATTTATTTTGAGTTAAACACAACAGCCTGGATGACACGGGCAAAACACGGGTAACTGGAGTAGTTTGCGGCTCATTTCAATTCATAAAGAGATGGTATGCACCCTATTTTATTGAAACAAGTTGAACTGTAATCTCTGAGTAGATACTGTGTATGTAAATACACTTGACATTTTCATCAAAGAAAAGCTTGCATCTAAGATTAATTGTATACAGATGATTAATAAGGACCCATAGAAAGTATTCTTACGACAGCTTCCATGCAAATACGGAAACTCTAAATGCACATATAGCTTTTAGCGGACAGTCGAACATAAACAACCAAAATCGACTGATAAAAGAATCAAATGAACTTCATTTTAATGTACCATTTGATCATCATTCTCATCATCAATTTTCGAGATAAATACTTATCAAGTAAAAACATCCACTAGTATGAGAATATATAATCGTCACTTTGATTTTTTATACAAGAAAAGTTTTGGAGAAATTACTAAAACACTAACACTGCAGGGAAACATTTACACCTCCTATTAGTTCAAGGGGTATAAGAATATTTAGATGGCACATTTAATGATGAAATGATTTGTTTTTGCAATATGATTTACAAATATGTTAGCAGTTCCACCTCAAACTTGCGAACTAGTCATAAGTTTCCTATTGAATTGCTCCTTAGTTAATTATGACAGTACGCTATTATCAACAGCAGTCAAGATTCAACTCTAGGCATAATAGACACATGGTTTCTGGAATGCTGATACTTAGGTATTGTTTTTTGACATTGTTCCTCATCATGAATAAGCACTAATCCTACACCCGTAAATATGAAGGTAAAAAGTGTGCTGATTTCTGCAACCTTGGAATAAGTGTATGCAGTCAGTCAGGTTGTTAGACCGATTCCACCAAATTGAAAAGTTTTTAACTGAGGAAAATGTCACCTAGATGTTTCTGCTGTACGTTTGACAGTTTGGTACTTTGGATGCATGAACCCATAAATAGTAATCTGGCCATTTTTTAGCGTGTCCCTGTGCTGTCAAGCCCCCATATGACTAGCTTTTCTGGTGGTCTTTGCTTTCAAGTTGAAACAACTTTTGCGAACTATCTGCCGAAATAGCAACACCATGTAAACGCTCAGTAAGTGATCAAATAGATAAATACCATTTGAAGTATTTATAACAATAGTCAAAGGTGGCAAGAGTAATGATAAACAATTTCTTTAAAACTATATTGAAATTACCGCCAGCCAAGTTGGTTCCAGTCAACCGCAATATCCAGTGATGGTAGTAATGAAAGACTGTATTTTGCAAACTGTAAGCTACTAGTGTCGACATGTTATCACCTACCAGTATACCTAAAGCACATAACTTTGATGAACTTTCCGCAAAAGTATTCGTCCAGTTTCCAATCAGTTAGATAAGTTTGGGAAATGTGTATATCCTTGTTACCGGCCTATAACAGTTGAATGCTTCTATTGAACCGACAGTAAATTCATAGGTAAGCACTTTGAAATGTAACTACTAAAATGGAGCAAGTTAAAATATTCACAGAGCTGTTATTTTGGCCGAAGAAGGTAGAAGAGATGCAACCACCAAATCTTACTTCCACAACTTATCGTGTGTGGCGTTTACAAGGTTTCTGTCGCAATTTAGACGGCGCTTGCTTCCATTTATTCTGAGAAAAAGACTGAACTGCACTCAAATTCTGTCTTTCACGTTGATAGATACGTGATAATCCAGGTAAGGTAATATGAGAATGCATGATGGGCGCAGTTTTAAGTATGTATATATTGTCTATGGGACGCATTGGAAACACCACTCGGCTGTGAACTAGAGATAAAAACTACAGCCCGGCGGTTAACTAATGCTTTAAATGAAAAACGATGCCGGAAAAAATGCCAGTTAGGACGAAACTAGGGTAGAAAATGGGGAACCCACTCGATGCTGAAACAATGTGCGATACTAAAAAACAATGAAGTGCTATTTTGTATGGAGTCATGCGGTTTTAGTATTTGTCCAGGTTGAAGAAAGGCTGTTCTTTAACTTTAACGGGCATTCAGTCATACGAAGAAGCAGTAATTACGCATTTATATACGCCTGAGTTTCCCGTAATGATCGAGGAAAATATGAGTTTGGAGCTACCTATGTTAGGGAGTTATAAGTGAGTAGCGATCAACTATCGTAGAAATCTACGTGATACAAGTATATGATGCGAAATTATACAAATATTTGGACGCTACTATTAGCAACCACGTGTACACGTGGTACGTACAACTTTAAGAGCTACAGTGCATCTCAAAGAATGCGTTTGAGAAAGCATGTCGTGAATTTGGATACAAATATTCGGACATAATTTTAAAAATACTGCTTTTAGGACCGTACATATAACGTACCTCCCACTAACTGTAACGCAACGTTTTGTAATTCCACTTCTAGCAATTAAGCACTTTAACAAGTCTTTGCTTTAATTATCCTCCTATGTAAATTTCTATTGTTGTTTGTTTCTGTTTATTTTGAATACGATAGTCCTGCTGAGTTCAAATCTTTTATTTCTTTGCTGTCAGTGTGTGACTGGATTTGCCAGTTTATTATTGCTACCACCGTTTTGGTGATGACACTTGAAAGAATAATCAGTAAGGCTATCCTGACATATATGGTTTTGACAATTTTCCATCCCCCCATGTCTTACAAGCGTTCTCACTACAAAGGAAAGCTGAGTCAGGCCCAGAAAGAAGAAGACAATTTAGGACTCAAAAAGATTAATGCTCAAATCAAATCTGAAATCAAAAATCCTAATGCTATCTATAATGATACACTTTTATCATGCAAATCTCCTATCAGCAAGTGGAAACTTTTTAATGAAATTACTGGCAATAGTAAGCGTTGTAATGCTTTTCCCTCTTATGATGTTAATGCTCTTAATCAGTCTTTTATACGCTGTCCTTCTACTTTAACTACTTCTAATGTTACCTGTCATGTAGCTGAAAACTTTCATGACTTTAATACTCTCGATGTTCTAAAATGTCTTAAAACGCCCAAGCCCTCACTTAGCCTTGGCCCTGATGGTATACCTGCATATGTTCTAAAACAATGTGCAGATGCTTTGTGTTTTCCACTAATCAACATCCTAAGTGCTTCTTTCTCCAAAAATGTCGTACCTGATGCATGGAAAGACATTAAGATTGTCCCTGTCCCTAGACCTGGAAACGGCAAGAACGTAAAGTTCAGACCCATTGCCATCACTTCCGCGTTTCTAAAGCTTATGAAAAAACTAATACTTCTTAAACTTGAACCCTCCCTTAAAAACTTTGACGACCCCAAAGAATTTGCCTATAGACAGCAGCCGTCATACACAGCAACATCATCTCATCATTAGATAAAGGTGCCAAATACGTCCGTTGCACGTTTCTCGACTTCACTTCTGCTTTCGACTCTGTACCTAGATGTCTCTTGCTAAATAAGCTCTCTTTGACAAAAACTGAGTCCTGGGTCACTAACTGGCTGCTTTCCTACTTCTCTAGCAGAAAGCAGTACACCGTATACAAAGGGAAATCACCCTCTACTGTACTCACTGAAGCCGGACTCCCCCAAGGCACTGTACTCTCCCCACTTCTCTTTTCTTTCTTTCTACATGACTTACCATCTTCAAATGACATTAATTTTGTCAAATATGCTGACGACCTGACTGTATCTTTGCCTCTCAAATGTCAAAGTGACTGCTCCAAACTAAACGGCTTTTTATCAGAAATCAGCCAGTGGTCCAAGGAAAACGGTCTTACCTTAAACCCCTCCAAATGCCAAACAGTCAATTTCGCCTTTTGGCATAAATCTGACCCAAACAAACTGGTGAGCACTCATGAGGTGTGCAACATA